ATGGATCTTCGAAGTATCCAATCTAATTGTGTCTGCAACTTCACGCCAGCATAAGCTGCTAGTATCATTAGTAGAGGCTTACTTGACGGTGTCCTGGACTTACGTCGTAACTGATGGAATGTGGGGTATTCTTTCCTGAAGTCCGTTGTAGACGTTGCTGTCTGATGAGCTATGGTTATGATGTTGGAGGCAGCGCTTGTGACGGGAGCTTATCCGGGTCTATTAAGAGTGCAGGATGCTTCACACTACGCTAACTATCTACTTTTGGTGTGAGTGGTGGACGGATTTTTCAGCAGAAGATGGGGTTGGTCCAATGGTATTTTTTAGTTAAGCGGTGTTTGATTGCTTGAGCAGGTTCGTCCTAGGAAGGGCGGGGGGTCACTTTAGTGGCTTCTCGCTTTCTGCACATTGACTGGTGTTTATCGAGTGGTGTGTCTTTAGTTTAAGCAGTTCAGAAGCTGACATTACAGTGGATTTTAAGATGTTTCAGAGGTCTGCTAACTCGGGAAATTGTGGTTTCGGCTGGTTGGTACTTGCAAATGCAGCTGGAATTGCACTCAACTGACTGGAAATATTTTCAACTTGTCAAGCACGAAGGAGATTAGAGGGACGGGTTTGACTACATCTGTTTGATAAAGGGTTGTATGGAAATAAAATATTTTGGAAAGAAAGATAGGGATCAGAAGCTCGAATTTGTTCTCGTAATGGGTTCTCGGGGTTTTTGAGGGTTGTTCAGGCGCTTATGCTAGGTGCAGGTTTTTTTTTCAGACTATTTGACGATTAATTCCTTTTAGCAGTAAGGGTGCGACTTGTTTTCCAGTGTTATCTTAGGAATACGGCATCAGAAACTGCTTTTATTGTTGCGCCAGTATGCTGTTGCGGAGTTGCTACAATTGTCGGCTTTATAGGTTGGAAGCAGTGGTAGTGTGTGGCAGAGTGTTAAGAAGTATTTGCAGGGCTGTCGGGAGCGTTAATTACTAGTTTGATTTGGTCGGGAACTACAAGAAGCGTGGGAAGTTATTTCCGGCAGTAAGTGCTGGTGATGATCTAAATGAACCAACAGTAAAGAGCTAGTGGTTTCTTTTACAGTTTTAGGAGGCTCAGTACGTTGTTATGCAATCTTCAGAGATGTGTTTCATATCAGATCTTGTGAAATTGTGTCATTTTTTTGATAATTGTCGTGTTCCTTTACATCCCAAGAAATCGGAGTATTGTACAAAAGTTAAAGCTGCACTTACCAAAATCTAGCTGCATTAATTAAAATTCTTCAAGAGTTATTGGCTTTAAAGAGTACCTGTTGATGCGTAATGTTGATACGGTAGATCTTACGGCTAAACCTAGGTGAACCGCCAGAGCGAAAGTGGTTTTTGCCTAATGCTTAAAGCGACGGAGACTAAGTTTTGCAGAGGTTATGGGAAGGTCGGTGAATTCCAAGGCAGTTGCAAATTTGCCAGCATTTGGAGAAAGCTTGCGAACGGAGTTTGTAAAGCGAATTAAACAGTCACATGGATCAACTCATATTAGGTTTAACGTTAAAAAGGTGGCGACTGAAGGTAACAGTGCAGTTTTGGTACCCCTCTTAAACATTCGGTCAGAACCCTGGGTTTTGTTCACTCAAAGATCATTATCTCTGACTGGTCATCGAGGTCAAATTTGCTTTCCAGGAGGTCGTCTTGCTGCGGGTGAAACTCCACAAGCGGTATAATATTATGTAGTAGTCGGCTTTTACGTTTACCGTTCAGATTATAATTTAACATCAGTTTGATAGTCCTTGTCCTTCTGTGTCACAGGTCGTTCTTATTTTGTATTTTTTCACAGGCAGCTTTACGAGAAAGCGCAGAAGAAATTGGACTTGACTCTAAAAATGTTGAAATTTGGGGTCATTTAAGAGCAATGTATACGAGAAACTTAGTAAATATTGTAACTCCAGTCGTTGGCCTGCTACATGACGTAAACTTAAATGCGTTAACAGTACAAAGCGAGGAAGTGAGAAGTGTATTTGCTGTATCTGTCGAGGAACTATGCTCTTGCCATCAGTATACGCGTTTTAGAAGGCCAGGTTAATGATCTTTGATAATGATTACGGTCTGCAAAAACAAAAAAATCTTTTCTTTTTTTGAAATACTGGAATTCACTTCTATTCATTGCAGATGGAGTTGGTTATATTTTACCTGTATTTGATACGAGACATTTTAAAATGATTTCTTCAAATGACCCGCCTTCTTCTGGATACCGTATCTGGGGCATCACTGCTGGTATACTACATTTATTGCTTCTGAACTTGTTTCCGTCGGCGTATGTGTCCAATATTAAGCTGATTCATCCGCCAGCCTAGGTTCAGTTTGTGTAATGTATTCTTTTCTAAGTTCTTTCCAGCTTGTTGGCCATGTAGTTTCTTTCATTTGGTCGCATTTGCCTTTATTTGTAAACGTTAAGTTGCTGAAATAGTATTTTAGTTTAAAGTATTTTTCTGAAGTAGTTAAGCTCAAACTGTGTACAGCTTGTTAAGCGCAACTGCTTGCTTAGAGCAACAAATTTTTAAATGAAATCATTTTTTCAAAAATGTTTTTATGGCCTGTAAATCGTTTGATAGTTTGGTCCACTCCTTTGATCTTCTAATCACTGACTCCAGTAACAATTAACATTATCCACAAGTTTTGTTGATTCATAATTAGCAGTAATTTTACCTCCCGTTGTTTCAACTGTGCGATTTTTACCTGTAAGGTCTTTAATGAGCCTATTTACGGGTTTAATGAAGCCAGGAAACTACACATTCCTGCTAGCACCTGTTGTATGTATTTTTTTTCCAGCAAAAATGCAGATTTCTGTTGTTTACTTTTCCGCCTATGTTTTAATTTACTTGCTTTTTTTTTTGTTTTTTGCTCAAAGATTCTTCATCAGCCTCTTTTTCAAATTTTATGTGGTTGTATGAGTTTTTTGATCGTTTACAGTATTCCAGTTTATGTACTTGCTCATCACTGTTTGACAAATAATATAGTATAAATTGGAAATAACGAGTAACAGGTGTTTAGGTTTCATATAATTGTCGTTTTGCTAAAGAAATGTTTTTTTTTTGCTTCTCTGATTTAACAACAACTTTATGCTGATTAGGAGTGAAATATAGCATTATTAGTCAGTTAGTTGATTTTATATTTCAACTGCATTTTCAGGCTCTTTGTTGAGAACGTCATTTTACAAAAGCATTTTAAAGCAACTTCGGCATTTTTTTTTTTGCTTTTTTTTTTCTTGTTCTCTTTTTTTTT